TCGATACCAATTCAGTCATTTTCTCATGATTTGTGTGGACCGCAAGATGTAGTAGGTGGAAATTACAATGACAGTACGCAGCCCCTACCGTTGTAGAATTCTGATACAACACCATTTGGAAGGGCAACATTGTGAAAGCTGATGTGGTGCTTTATTACTCAACGAAGCCATAGAGCCTGAAAATCCAAGTTCATATGGCAACCCCAGATTTGACAATCGCAATGATCCTTTTCTTTGATGCCACAACACAATATCAGGAGCGCCCCTGCCCTATATCTAGAGTCATGGTGCCCAAGATGACATAATGCATTCCTTGAGCCACAACCTCTATATTTTTTATTGATATGGTGTTTGCCATGTTGGAGGTGCCACAACGCCGTACCTTGCGTCGAATTGCCTCACTGGCTCACTTGTCCATTTTTAAGGGTTGATATTTTTTTTTTTGTAATTCTTAAGGGTTGCTTAATTTGTCTTTTGGAGGTTAAAATTTTGTATTTAGGCTGCTCTCTTGGTCAAGAAGTCCCATCAAGCTTTTCCAAGCTTCTCGATCGTGATTCTTCCTCCTCTCCAACTACTAAAGCATGGTCATGCCTTTTACTTTAGCTTCCCACTTCATCTTGGTGGAATCCTTGGTGCCCTTGCTATAGTTCATGGTGACTCCAAGGACCGACGAAGCTGTCCTCCAATCTTCAAAGCACTGGATGTCTCTTAACCATCTTGTGGGTAAGATTTCTCTCCCTTTTGTGACTCTTCATTTGTAGGAATACCTATGCTATGTGCTTGCGAAGATTACTTAGGTTGTTGTTATATGGTCCTTAGGTTATGCACATGTGTTTCCCCTCCCCAGCCAAGTTTTTTGTGAATGTTTCTTTGAGAGTAGGGTCTTAGTTTGCCTCGATGTTGTGATGCCACCCTTCTGGGCATTATGAAGTCTTTCCATTTGCCAACGTGAAATAATTTTAGTCTCATCTCTCGGTGCTTGATTGTTATTTTACACCGTAAGTAGTTGTACGTCATTGACTCTGCAATGATGTGAGGCCGCCTCGTTCGATTTTGGTCAGCACTAGATGTTACTTTTTAGTGATATAATGTTAGATCCACAGAATCGAGCCACATTATTTCTCTCAATATCGTGGCCCCTAGTGAGCCTTGCTTGCACTTAGGCTAGAGTTATTACACTAATTTTGGTACCACGGTGTTGGATTTTACTATGTGGTCTAGTATCGTATTCTCGTTGATAGTAATATATCACCATGGTATTCTCTCAAAGATTGTATTGTCTACCTTTTGCATTATGACATTGAGAATCAACCAAATTCTTACCTTACTTTTTCTTAGTGAGACACATAGTCAATGCACTACTTGCAGTAGTGCAGTGGATACAGACACCTGATGTTTGGTCAGCACAAATTTTTGTTTGTTAGAGACAATCATATTTTAGCTTTTGTAAGTTAGGAGGTGTGATATTCTCTTTTTTTGGTCATTAGTACACCCTTCTATAAGGGTGGTGATCCCCTCTTTGGCATTCTGGTCATGTCTTTAGACTGGGTTGAATTATTTTGAACATGTAGATCTTCTATCTTTATAGATTATTGACCTCAAACTTGGCCTCCTATATAGTTGGTACGGCCTTATTTATGGATGACAGTTTTGGTTTACCCGACTGATCAACGAGACTTACATCATTCTTATCACTTGCCGATGTGAGCCGGTGTAAGCTTGTTTTCTTCCATATTTCACTTTTTACTAAGGACAGTATTTGAGTTCTAACACTTGCTAGTTTTAGTTTGCATTGTGTGCCAACACATTCTTTTTTCTACTCAGAGATGGAAAAGATCTGATGGTGATATAACATTTAACTTTAGACCTACTAAATCGATTCAAACGATGCATCGCCTGGGTTATTGGTGGACTTATCCTCATTTGATTTAGGTTGACTAAGTTCACGACTTAGTAGATCCGGGGTCCCAATAGGCTGGGAGGATGTGTTCACCGAGCCTCGACCAGGCTATCTCTACCTATCCAGGTTTTTCTTCCACCTACCTGTTGATCTAAACCTTTGAGTACACTCGTTTCCTTTGTCGAGTAATTTGTCAACACTATAGACCCTTTAAGCTCAACAATGTGTGCTTGTCAGGTTATAGTGATCAACCCTCTACGTCATTACTAGTTCTATCATGATGACTAAAGGACTTACCCCTAATGGGACTACCTAAAATCTCAATGGTTTCCTATGTTTCAGGACGATTTTAAGCAAACTTAATACTTTATATTGTGAGTTTTCCTGAGTAGTTTTCAGGATGTAATTGACTACAAGGATACTATATCGTCGGAGAACTATTTGAACCCAAAATAAAATAAATTTAATTTTGTATTCCGGTTTGGCTATGAATGTCTTTCTATTGAATTTTCCCTATATATTCTCTCACGTTAAGCATTGTCCTATTTAATTTGGATTGTTTTTCTTTGATTTTTGTTATGAGAATTTTTCTATATAAATATCTTTATAACTACTCTTTTTTGTTTCTTCTTAGTTTTCTCTACTTTCAATTTATTCCCTTACCTTTTTTAAATGGGGGTGACCTAGAAAGAAGAATCTTAAGAAGTCCAATGCCAAGAATGCCATCAGGACTAGAGCAAAAAAGAGGCACAAACAAAATCTAATGGCTATGCTAGGGGTTGAGACTACCTCACAACATTAAGTGTTGTGTTTTCCCAATATAATCCTTTGTTCATAGTGTTTCTCTTTCAACTAATTGATTTTAATCTTGATTGGATTTGATTTTTATTTTCCTCCTTTCATGATACAACCTCTAGGGCTAGCTGGCTAATTCCATTCCTGTCTTTTTTTGTCTTCTACATGTTAGTTGTATTATTTGAATATCCTGGAAACAAATTGAGCTTCACTTCTCAGGGATGCCAATAGTATACTCTTAATGTCCTAGCACTGTTGTACTCTTTTTGCTCGACATTTTAGTTGTTGTAGCATCCCTTCTCTCGACATTCTAAATGCACGCACTTTACATTCATAGTGTTATTTCACTTGCAAATTTGTTAATTTTATCCCACTTTTGCATAGGTATGACAGTCAAAAGGAAGATTACGATTGAGTCTGCTGGGGGAGAAAGCATGTCCTTACCTACTTCTATTAATGTTGATGAAGGCATGATTACTTTCGATTGTATTAACTGACCTACTTGCATAATGATAAGGAATCCCAAATTTTTTTAGGCATTAGATTTATGTCATCTAAAGAGGAAGGGGAGTTATGTCCATGTGCGTGTTCCTGTCATGTCAGCCCATATGAGGCTTGTTCTTCCTTCTAGAAAGAGGTTGTGTCCGACACTGGGCAACACAATGACTCCTTTTTTTCAATCAACTTTACCTATATTTTTTAGACAATTCAGGACATCTAGGTTGCCCTCGAGGTGTTACCCATACTTCTATTCTAGTGATATCTGTAATAATCAAGACATTTAGATAAGGGAATCAACCACAATATTCAAGCTTACGCTTTTTAATAAATACTTCAATGTTCATTAAGATGCATTTTTTATGTTATTTTTAACTTAAATCATTTTTAAAATACTTGGTTAATAAATAATAAATAAATGCCAAAAAATATATGAACAAAAATTTGACCTATAAACTTTGAATAATTTTTTATGGCTTCTTTTTAAGTTTGATTTACAAATTTTCTTCACCAAAATATAGAATATGATGAACTTTAATTACTATGATTTTTACATATTCTTATGATAAATATAAGTATGAAATTAGAAGATTAATGGTCTAATTGTAATTTCTTAAGAAATGTACATGTGTGGGCATACATTTCTTTTTGGTGTCGTTTGATATCTTTTTTTCAAACCGTTTTAACCAGAGTGTCCTAGATGTTATAATCTATCTAATGACAATTTTTTCATAATTTTTTGAATTTTGAATTTCAAGATGTAAAAGATTTTATATAAAATTAACAAATAATCTACATTTTATGATTTATATCATCTAGGAATAAAGTAAGAGAGTCCACTTGGATTTCATCATTAAAGACATTTATAGAAAGTTTTCTAAATGGATCTCCACCTCCAATCTTTTTAGAGTTTTACAGTCTTTCTTAAAGTGACATTTTTTCCCATAGTTCCATCATTCACCCCTACCTTTTTCTTTCCTTGGATTTTCTCTCCTGAACTTGGATCTTTTTCTTCATGTGTTTCTATCCTGACTCCTTCCTCTAATATCAACATTCAGATGAGGAATTTAGAGTTTTACCACTCGCCATTTTTCAAAATTCTTCACACTAATATCACAATATCATAAAAATTTAACTTTATATTACCTGAAGAGTTAACTCATTGCATTAACTAGTACATCTCAACTATCTGGTAATAAAGATGAGTACAACATTATCCTAACTACTTCATGAAATTTGATGCCAACATAACACAATTGGTTTATCACAGTGTTGAAGTTATTCAAATATTTAACCACTGAGCTATCATCCACCATCTTTAGATTGAATAATCTTTTCATTATAAAAACTTTGTTTGAAGTCGAAGGCTTTATATACATAGTAGTCCTCTCACAACATTAAAGCGGACTCCCTCTTTACAGTGTTGTGATATAGCGTTGTGCTGCTACAATGGTAGCATTGGGGCACTCATATATGTTGTTGCGACATCAAGCTCTTGGCTTTCAACATAAGTTTTTTTTTTTTTTTTTTTCCGGTGTTGTGGCGCTGCAAAGACAGTGTATAGACGTTTTTATATTGTTGTATCACTAATACTATTAACACTGCGGGTACATCTCTAAGGTGTACTCCTACAAAATCACTGTCGAGCTTGATCGGTGGGACTCTGAGTTGGCAATTAATTGACACAATTAACATATTGCACAAATGTTAATTGTCTCTAGTAAGCATGAATCACGATTATCTACAAGCTTTAATAATTGTTTTTATTAAATTTAATCTTTTGAAAACTATTAATGTTTTAATCTAGGAGTGGAATATGTCGCTGGTGACTTTTTGTCAAGCATTCCAAGTGGAGACGCCCTTTTACTCAAGGTAAGTATCAAACCTTTTTCTTATGTTTTATGACCTAGGAGATTGCCATAAAAAACAAAGTATCTTATGATATATAAATAGAAATATAAATATATATATATATATATATATATTGTACATACATATATACATGTATCATATATATAGATGTATGCATGTGTGTGTGTGTGTGTGTATATATATATATATATATATATATATATTATCCCAGACACTCGGTGGCCAGAATACTTGTGAAAAGGGATATTATTTTACATGATGTTACTGAAATCTGGCTGGGCACAACCCATAATGGGTATTGGCAACAAATCGTCATGGAACACAAACCTTCATATTGTACCCACTGTAAGATGTTTGGTCATATCCTTGCTAAATGCCACAAATTTCATCCTAATTTGAAATCTAAGGTTCAAGTGAACAAGGTTGGGTCTAACCCCCCTGCTGTGGACATTTTAGTTCTACCTAAGGAGGATACTATCAGACAGGAGGTGTCTGTTGCACCTGAGGACCCCCCCCCCCCCCGGTCTTCTCTCGCCCTGCTGTCACTGTTACTGCGAGTGATGCGATGCTGGCACCTAATCAGGAGAGCCTCACAATTCCACTTCTTCAAGAAGTATTCTGTGTAGCGGCAACTCATACCTCACATATTGTAGAACCTATTGTGGGTATTACTGTTGGTAATCCTTCTGCTTCAGCTCTACCCCATCAGGCAGATTCTTTGGAGGAGGAATGACAGGTTTACACTTCCAAGAGGCAGAAGAAGAATGAAGATTAAGATTTACTAGAGCTCAGGAGTCTCATGAATGATACTTTGGTTACTACGGGTAATGGTCAGTACCTTACCAATCTGCTAGCTGGATCCCTACCGAGAACTAGAGCCAGAGATAAGAGTAGATTGGGATGACTCACACTTTTTCAGCGCTCAGGTGGTTTTTAGGTTTTTTTATTTCTATATGTACCCATCTTTTACATTTTTTGATGTGTGTTGTACCGTGTGGGTTGGGTGTTTAGGCCCGTCTATACAAACTTATCTGTAGCTTTATCTTTAATATATCAGCCATTGGGCTTTTTCATATATATATAAAAAAATGTATATATTATCTTTGCAAAAAACCACAATAGCAATAGAAACAGAAAAAAGTATCCATGCTAATGTGGGAGATTCATTAACCAGAATAGAAATTACAACATTCTAATGTAGCCCTACCAAAAGTAAAGAAAGAGAAGGACTTGGAATTTTGCTACTTACAATTTCATCAGTAAGATTTCCTTGTTTTGCAAGCCAATGGCTGGCTTATTTCCTTCTCTAGGAATGTAAGAGTGTATGGTATGGATTGAAGCATCAAGGGATTTGATTTTGCTAATCCAACGTGTCAAGTGCCAAGGGGGATCAGCCTGGTTCATCAAAATCTGGATCAGTATTTGAGAGGCTGATTCTATGTGGAAATGATGCCAATTTCCTTGTATTGCAATGAGGAAAGCCCAGTAAACAACAATGGTTTTAGCTTCAGTACATCTTGTGCCAAATTTGGAGACTGGAAATAAAGCAAACAGTTGCCCAAAGAATCTCTGAACCAATTCCTGCATCTTCATGGAGAAAGCTGCCATTAGTATTGACTTTAATGCAAAGATGGAGGGGTTTATGCAAATTCACCTTGGAGACAAGGGGATTGGAGTTTATGGAGTGAATAGTGACTATATCATTGCAGATATTTTGGAAATGCATGTGTTGTATGAGTTTCAGAAGGTAGGATAAGCAATGGTTTGCCACTTGATGAGTAGTAAGTGTCCTGTCCTCGTATTTAGCTTTACACCTGGCCATCCAGCAAAACTAGGCAACAATGCAGGGAAAAGGGAAGAGCTTGGCAGCTTGCCAATCTAACCAGCTAGTGGTAAAACGGCCCCAACTAAGAGTGACATTATTAATTGAGAGGTGGATGGTTATGATTCTCTATGTGGCTTGTACATAAGAGCAACTGAAGAACAAATGATCCATAGTTTCTTCATCTTGCTGACATAGCATACACCAAGAGGGGCCCCTCAAGCCTTTAAGCTTCAGAATATAATCACTTGGCAACAATTTTAAGAATAGTCTCATTAGTTGAACTCTAGGATAAGATTTTTGTAAGGATTTTGGTGGGTTTTCTTACAAGAAGTTTGTCTTTGCCATTCCTCTTATTAATTTACATTTTTTTAGTGTAGCCATTATGTAAAGTGCGCTCATCAATTATGACAAATATTGATACATACTTTATGTTTTCTTTCATTCGCTGATTTATAATGATTGGATAAAAACACATTTACTTATTGAATATTGAAGCAAATCACATGTACATATCTATAAATTATAGAAATTTAAGGAGAACAATTATGTGTCAAAAAATAAAAATTAAATTATTTACATTTTAACACTTGAAGAAATTCACCCAAAATTTACTATAGTTTTAAAGTCTTGAACATAATTGATTTGCAATAAGACACTATTGTATATGCATATAATAACCTTTTCTAAATGCATCCATATTACTTAGCTCATTGCACATAAGGAAAAGTAAGCTCCTCAGACAATCATGGAACTAACGGCCTTGATCAAAAGAAGGCGAAGAGGCGGAAGGCATTTCAAGTGACCTAAGGGTCGCCGCAAGCAAACACCAAAGGAAGATCACCAAGCATTGAACTAAGGAAGCATGGTAAGCTGCTGGCACCTAAGGGTGATTGATCCAAGTCCGAAAAAACTTCAAAGCCAAGCAACTACAACCAAAGCGTGGATGATTGATTTAGGCCGCACTTACCAGACCGTCCGACACATTGCCATGTAAAGAGAATGATCGGCCAGGGGTGGACTCCTAATATCACACGGTCAATCCCAAGACTCTTGACTGGGCAACTCAAAGCTGGGGTAGATTGCTCAAGCATGTAGAATTACACTAGAGATAGAGGATGAATGAAGCCCAACGCTACACTAAGACACTGCTTCTCAAGTGCAACTGTTAAAAGAGAGCATTTGAGTTAGCATTATGAAGGTTCTCACCAAGACCTTTTTGTCGGGATTTTTTTTTAATTTTAAATGATACAAGTGTCCTTTCACGGGGTTCAACGCCAATAAATAGAAAGCATTGTATAAAATGTGGGCTCAAATTTTGATTCCTCTATTAAGGAATCTCTATCAACTTTCTAAGATTCTTTTTGGTATTTTCTTAAGGGGGCCCTCTTTTTCTCCTTTTGTGTGTGTATTCTATCAATTGGGCATGATGTGAGGAAAAATTAGAGTTTAACACCCTAAAAGGTGTGGTGAGCATAGAGTCATGTTGCAAAACAAGAAGAATAATGACATAAGAGGAAGAAGGTATCTGTGAGAAAGCAGACAACATGGAGTGCACTAGAGATTTTGTGACCCAACAAATCTGAGAACTTAAGGGAGATATGAGAGAGATGATCAGGGAGGTACTTCAACAAAGATCAGACTTGGTGCCCCAACCACTGATTCTGGTGTTTCAGAGGTTCAACCCAACTCCAAGCATGAACGATGAGACATTTCACCGTGACAGTGCTAGATCTGCACCTCAAGCTAGAGAAAAATAGAAGCATATGGGCACGTAGCATCTGACTCTTCTTGCCTTAGATGAATCATTAAAGCTAAGTTGTCTGAGAGCTTCAAAATCCCAATTTTCAAATCCTACCAAGGAAAGTCTGACCCGAGTGATTATGTTGCCTTTTTCAAATTGACAGTGTGTCTGCTAAGGGTGAATTATACACTAAAGTGTTATCAATTATTTATGAATTTGAAAGAGTAGACTCTGATGGTTTAACAACTTACCACCAGAAGTGATCACGTCATTCACAAACTTCAAGAGGATGTTGATGATGTAATTTTACAGAAAAAAGATGACAATAAAGCAAAAAATCGAATCAAGAAAAACGTACAATAGAAAAGCACAGCAGAAACATACAGATTTACGTGATTCGACAAATTGCCTACGTCCACGGAGCTGCAGAGGATTTTATTACTTGAGGATTAGATCCGTCGATCGCCTCGACGATTACAAGAAAGAACAATCTCTCTCTCTCTTCTCTCCCCTCTCCTTCTCTCTCTCTACCCAAGAGCCACAATCAAGAAGAAGAAACGCTGGAAAGAAACTAAATCCTGAGAGAGATTACAAGGGGAGCTAGCATGTCTATTTATTAATTTTATCATGTCATTAGACTCATTAAGAAATTAATGAAATAAGTAATGAAGCCCATTAATTATTTCCTTTTCTTTTCTGCAGCAAATCATAGAAGAAATTAAGAGCAATTAATTTATCAATTAATTTCTAGTATCAAATCCAATTTACTGCCAAACATGAGAAAATGTCAATTTGAACAGTGGACCGGTTTCCATATTCGCAACAACCTTGGATGCAAACCCCTTTCTTTCCTCACACAAATTGCATAAATCCCTCAACATTGGTGCACATGGAAAACAAAATGTTGAACAACTCAATAAACCAAGTGATCTTTACCCGCTACATATACAAAACCACGAGAATGATAATGGTAAATCAATTGGGTATCAGCTGAGCCGAACATATCCCAAAGTTATGGAAAATTGTGTCCATCTCCGCACACAGTAGTAACCTAGTCGAGCCAGAAATATTCCTTGTAGAATGCCATCTCCCTCGCATAAAAAGTGTTGGAGCGCTCGTTTTTTCTAGAGGCCTATAGAAAAATGAACAAAGCACACACACTAGATAATTGATATTGATTCACTTGCATGGCATCCATCTTGGATGAGCAAGAAAGATTTTCCTTGAAAAATTCTATGGGATTGTGGCCGACAGGAGGGGTGCGATTGCAGGAAGCGTGAGTAATTTGATAAGAACAAGAAGCTCGGGCGAAGGAAACCATGATCAACTAAAAGCAATTGTCAGAAGAAAAAGGACAGTAGAGTAGAACCCTCACAGTCAAAACATCCAATTTTGTAGGGGCGGAGATGTTGTAAGTGCCCAAATATTCACAGGGGTAAAAAGGGAAAGTACAAGTAATTGAAATCTGTGGAGTGTAACAAGCATCACATCACTAATAAAAAATACATAAGCTGGAGTGTTGGGTATTTTTATTAAAAAAGTTATTCATATAAAACGTTAGTACATCAGCAGGGGCAGAGAATGTTATACAAGGATTCAATAGGGCCTCAGCTGGATAGTAACCCAGTCGGATGAGCCTTCTCAATACAAACTATCCCCCATATCTAAATTGTCCTGGGCGACTAAGCCGTCTAAGTCTAAAGAACCATGCACTTGCCCAACAAGTCCATGAACTCCTGCTAGATGAAGGCCTCTTATTGTCTCTACAACTCAATTTTGTGCTTTAGGCCAACCAATCTAGCTATACAGTCAGCTAATCCAATAAGATTCAAGACATCCTCATGCAAGTGGAGGTTACCTAAAAAACTCAGTGCCTCATGTTTTGTCATGAGTCTTTCGCTTCACCCTTCTTCTGTTTGGGCGCCACCCTTGTTGGAGATTCGATCATCCCTAACTCTGTGCTCACAACATTTGACACCTCCACTCACTAGCTCTTTACACTCAGGAGAACACCCGAAAGCTCATTCAAATTTAGGGAGGATGGATCATATGGGCAATAACCTATGAAAATAAAACATGAGTGACCCTTGGTAGATAATAACAAATCATCATGAATGAATATGCTCTCTACCCATTGCCCGCATATGATTAAACACATTTGAATAAGAAAGAGCGGATAAGGCATCACCTTGAGCCACTTGAGGCAACTGGACGATTGATTGAAGCATTACATCAGAAGCTAGCTCAACTGATGTTCCTCATGTCCCGGGAACAGAAAGAACACGATTTGATTCAAGGATTTTGATGGCCTCATGTGCGGCAATGGCGACCAACATCTCAGAAATATGGGGGACATCTTCTGGAGCTGCATAGAGAGACCTCAGATAGTCATATGATAGGTAAGCATTATCAAAAACTTGGATGGTATCTTTTGGGAATGCGACGGAGGATCCCTCCCAAACCAGTGGAGGGTCAGCATAATTGGGAGCATTAATGACTCTCTAGGACCGCGAGACAAGATCACCGTTGATCCATCAACGAGGCAGCTCGTTTGTTCTTCAACCTGCTTCCTCGCACATGCTCACCAAAGGGATGACGGAGTAGGACTTTGATTGGACCTATAGCTTGGGCAACAGTAAGCTTCTCCATAGGCAAAATATCTGACAAGCATATCGGAATCAAACGAATGAACTAGCTCAATAAATTCATTTGAAATCTTGTTGAACTATTTATAAGACACAAGGCACAAAACTCAATGAAATATTTAAAACTTTAAACATTTGTTATTGATCGCTTTTAATTGATACAATTGTCATTTTAGGGGGTTGAGCAAACTCCTATAAATAGGAAACATTATATAAAAATGGATGTCCAGATCCTAATTGTTTTTTATGTTATTAAAATTTATGGCTATTTCTGATGGACTTTCAGAGTCGAGTGTTTTTTTTTTTTCTAATTTATATGTTACAACTTTAGATATGTTATTATGAAGTCATCTCAAAAAGTCCATTAGAAACAGCCACAATTTTTTTGTAAGTGATATGCCACTAACAAATTTTCTTTGATTGACATAAATCTCAAGACGTGAAATGAATCTCAAAGCAATTTTTGAATAAAATCACTCAAACTTCAACTAAAAAACATGCAGAACTCTAATTTCAAAAAACACAGTTAAACTGGTTGACTCCGCGAGATGGGCCTAATGACAATCAAAGTCAAATCAAGCTAAGATCAAGTTGTTAAATCTTTTTTGAAAGCTTTCAGTGAATAATTAGAAGGTCAAATGAATTTCAAATCTAACAAGCTAGTGAAAGTTAGCATCCTGACAAGATGAATTCAAGGAGCCCAAGAGCATTCAATTCTAACACCATTAAGGCACATAAATGTCCACTGAATACTGTTCGATCGAGAGAACCTTCGGAGTGGTTCGGATTTCTTCCTTATTTGCAACACGAACTCTATTTCTACCCCCTCCCCTCTCAAGGAGGAGAACTTAAATTAGAGGGAGACCTAAGCTTATAAGAGGAATTAAGGAATGTTACTCACTTCCGCAGCACCGACCACCCATCGATCACCGCTTTCTGGCTATTTTTGAACACCATCAGCAGCCAGTTGCTCCTTGAGATGAAGCCCCTTGCAGAATCACAACCTGCATTGTGGCTTCCCAGCGTATGTTGCAAAACTGTGAAGCTCTGTGCAACAATGCACTTTGAAGACAAGTGTATTGAAATCAATCAATTGCTCTCGATTGCAATCACCCCCGACTACTGTGCAACAAGTATTATATCATGACAAACTATGTAGTCCTTTCACTCCTGTGGGACAAGGACCTCCGCTTGTAATCATCAATTCATACTGTATTGTTCTGATCGGGTCCGACCCCGTGATTTTTTCTCTTTCCAGTTTTTCCGCATAAGAACTTCGGTATGTCTATTGTTTTTTTTTTTAATTATTATCTAAGTGTGTATTGTATTCTCATACAACATTAAGACGATAATTTATTACTCAACTTATATGAATCTTCTAGCATGCATCAATAAGGATGTTTATTGGATTCTTGTGATAAAAATAAAATTTTCAAATTTTTTATAAATATTATAATTCTTTTTGAAAAAACTAAATAATAATTTTCTTGCTGGTATCATATTTTAATGAATAATATCTCGGAAAAAAACAGCAATAAGACGGAAGTCAAAATGGTTACCGTGTACTTCCATGCCTGCACCTAATGATTTCTTCCACCAAGAAATTATGTATGAAGCCTTAAAACTTCAAAATTGACTGACACGACAAGATAATGCAGTTTGTTCTTCATGACTGGAGTGACGAGGACTGCATACGAATATTAAAGAATTGCTATAAGGCTCTTCCAATCACAGGAAAAGTGATTGTTGTGGAGCAAATTCTTCCAGAAATTCCTGAAAGAAATAATGCAGTAAGAGACGTATACTTCATGGATCTTAGCATGATGGTAACCAACCATCGAGCAAAGGAGCGAAGCGAGAAGGAATTTATAAGTCTTGCAAGTGAAGCAGGATTTGCTGAATTCAAAATTGCATGCTGTGTCATGAATTATCACGTAATGGAATTCATAAAGTGATGTGTAATCACTTGGCAGGACAGCTGAGTACTGCAACTATACTGCTTAAAAAAATAAATCTGATGCTGATGCAGAAGAAGATTATGTTTTTTTTTTTTCTTTTATTGTATTTGGAAATAATTTGAACTACTTTTTAGTTTCTTTGTTGTTAATTAGTTTTTTTTTATATTTATTTAATGAAATGTCTGATGTTCTCAAATGCACAATACTTGTTCTAATTTTTTAATTATATATAAATGATGGCGTTGTTAATTTGTCAGTTTTTAAGATAAGGTTGAAGGTCGGTTTACTGTATTAGAAGTAAACTTAAATCAGAATGTTCTATTTGAATTGTTTAATTAGGAAAATTATTTTTAGTTAATTTATTCTAAAAATATTGTGATGCTAAATTTTTTTTATCATCATAAGAAAAAAAAGTATATAAATCTAGTACTTATTGGAATTTATAAAACTAAGATTTTTGAAACTCAAAATCACGAAATACAACTCTTAAAACTCTTGAATTTTATTTAGAAGTTATATTTTTCTTACTCTTCCTCTAAAATTTTGCTTGAGACTTGATTTCAACTCTTCATTCTTCACCTATCACACCCACCTGTAACATGGTTTATCTAACAATTGACTTTTAAACATATCAAATTTTAAACAAGCTTATTAATTTAATTATTTAAAATAAGTTTATCTATAACACTCTTTCTTAAAGTTGATTTGTAACTCCAAAAGCGCTTTGGAACTTCACAAAAATTTCTTGTTTCAGTAGCTTAGTAAATATGGTTGTCGCTCAATCCTGAGACATTATATATTTCAATTCTACTTATCTTCTTTCAACACATTCTCTTACATAGTGATAACGGGTTTCCATTTGCTTGCTTCTATTATGAAATACATGATTCTTTGCTAATGCAAGTGCTAATTTATTGTCAATATGTATCTCAATGGGTATTCCTCATAAAAAAATTATAATTATTTCAAAATAATCCTCAGTCAAATAGCATGAAAACACATGAAATCGATGCAACATATTCAATTTAATGAGTTGAGAGTGTAACAATATTTTATTTCTTCGATACAAAGGTAAAAGCAGTATCTCTGATAAAGAATATACAAATCTGATAGCACTCTTTCTATCATTTAGATTTTCAACCCGATAGTTATCTCTATGTCCAACAATCTTGTATTTATTAGAAAAAGAGTAAAGTAAACAATAGTTGATTTTACATCAAGCTTGAGATGAGTTAGCACTGGAGCTTCCACTTAGTGACTGATTACTCTAACTATGTAAGTTATATCTGGTTTTATTCAAGTTAAGTAGAGTAGGCTTCGTATATATTAAGCTTTTACAAATAGTTGGAACTACCTTTTCTCCATTATCATGTTTGGATAACTTGACTTCACATTTCATTAATATTCTAACAAAATTATAGCTATCCATTTTGAACTTCTTAAGTACTTCTTTAGCATATCCTTTTTGAGTGATAAAATGTTTGTATCTTCTTGCTTCATTTCAATGCTAAGAAGTAAGTTATAAGCTTATTGTCAATCATTTAAAATTCTTTGGTCATTTATTTTTTGAATTCCTTAAACTTATTTGAATTATTATATGTGAAAATCAAGTCTGCTATATACATGCTTGCAATTAAAATATCTCTATTTTGAACTTTAATATAAAATGCATGCTCATATGAATATTTAATCAAATTTGTTCTTTGAAATGCTTGTCAATTCTTGTATTTCATGGTATTGGTGCTTGTTTTAATCAATATAAAGCCTTCTTCAATTTTTTACTTTTATTCTTGTCTTTTTATTTCATATGTAAAAGATTGTTCAATGCAATTTTCTCTTTCAATAACTCCATCTAAGAAAGTATACTTCACAGCCATTTAATGGAACTTCCATCCATATTGTCCTGTCAAAGAAAGTATTAGTCTAATGATTTTAAGACGAGTGATAGAAGCAAAAACCACATCATATCAATGTCATATTTTTTATTATATCATTTTTTTTTATTTTGTATCTCTCACCATCTCCTTTAACATTTTTCTTCACTTTATACACTCATTTAAATCTAACTATCTTGTGTTTTTATAAAAGTGTAACAAGCTCCCATGTCTCATTCATTGTAATTGCTTTAATTTCATCATCCATGGTATCTACTCATTTTTTACTTTCTAGTTGCATTTCGATAACCTAAAGGTTCATATTCATCAAAAAATAAAAAATAATAATAATGTCATCTTGGATATTAGTTACCTTTTTAAAATCTTGTAAACATCTAAAGTATGGTGTCTTCTCAAATCAAACATTTACATAAAAGTGTTGTTAATGTTGATCCTTCATATGTTCTTGTTGAAATTAATAGAGTGATCGACTCTTATAATTCATCTCTTACGGTCTCCTTTGTTTTTATTGCTCATCTTCTTGTGTTCTCTAATCCCTTATATCCATTTCATCAAACTCTACATCACAATTAATGAAAAATTTTCCATTATACAGATTATAAAATTTCTAGCCTTTATATCTTGAGCTTAAACCAATGAACACATACATTTCACTTTTATCATCATGTTTTGTTCCTTTTTCATCTAGAATATGAACATTTGTGATGCTTTTAAATACTTTAAGGTGGGTGATTTCTGGTTTCCTTTGACTCAATACTTTTTGAGGGATCTTTTTATGCACACTTCTAGCAAGTAAGTGATTTGTTAATCAAATTGCACAATCGACTACCGCAACCAAAAATCCTTTGGGCATTCTTTTACTTTTAAGCATGCCTTAAGCCATGTTGAGAGTTATTCAATTATTTATCTCTACTAATCCATTTTACTGGGGGGATCTTAGTATAGTTAAATCATAAAAAAATTCATGATCTTCATAATGCCTTTGAAATTCATTGGATTTAAGCTCTCCTCCTTGATTAGATCTAACGGTCTTGATGTTAAGGTGATTTTCTTTCTTAGGAAGAGCTTCAAAATCTTAAAAGATTTTAAACATCTTTGATTTCTCCTTCAAAAAATAGACCCATGTTTTTCTTAAAAAATTACATATATATATATATATATATA